AGTCTTGGTGCTCATTGTCGTAAGAAGAGTCGGACTGTCGACGATTCGAGAATCTCTCGATCTCGCGACGGTTTCCCCTTCTCTTGCCGACTTTGAGGTATGAACGATCTTGGTTAAGGGGAGAGAATGAATTGGGGTGCTTTACTTGTGGTACTTGTCCTTGGCCCATAGGAGGAGCGGGAGGGTAGAAAAATGGCATGCCGCCCGGAGGCATGTTCTGGGGGTGGTGCGGCATAGCTGCTGGGAGTGCCGGGCTGCGATGTTGTGGTGGAGGAGTGCCGAACTGTTGCTGGCGAGCGTTGCCAAAGTTAGGTGCTACGCCGCCTCGTCCCGAATTCTGGGGGCCTCGATTATACGAGTTGGGGGGGTATCCCATAGGTTGTTGGTGGTTGAATGAGTTGTTAAACCCTCGACCACGACCCGCGGACTGGAAGCCGCCCCGGCCCATGTGAGGAGGACCTTGATTACTCATGTCGCTAACATTCGATCCTCGTCTCATGTGAGGAGAGTGCTGCGATCCTAAAGAGTTCGGGTCCTGCGAAACGGAGGTCGCTCGTATATGAGAACGCTGCGGATGCTGGTTAGATATGAATTCAGTTTGCCATAGATGGTAAGTACTCACGTCGTTATCGGGGAAACTACCAAAGGTCATACCCTGTTGGGCAGTTCCTGAGGGAGGCCGTCCACCGCTAGCAGAAGGCTGCGGGATAGGAGAAGGTGAGTTTTGAGGAGAGGTTACACGAGGATTGGTGCTATCAGGGATAGGGATAGGAGCCGATCCAGTCTGAGGAGAGCTATGAAGCACAGCAGGTGACTCTTGAAATCCAAATTTGATGTTCGCCTTGCCTCCTGCGGTACCACCGTTGGTGGAATAGTTGTTAGGTCCGTTCGCGCTTATAGTTACGGAACTCTTTCGGCTGTGGTCAGCAAGTCCGTTAGCATTCGATGTGCCGTGTGCGACAGGAGGAACAGTTGGGATGGCCGGCATGATGTTCGGTCGGCCGTTCATAGGCGATATCGAAGACGACTTAGCATGGTGCGGCGCAGATCCTGAGGTTCCAGCCGCAACAACAGGTGCGTTCGAGCCGGGAGCAACCACCGGCGTCGCAGATGGCTTTTTTGCTGTACCGGCGGCGGAAGCGTACGACGGTGTCGTGGAGTTGTTAGCCGCCGACCCTTGGTTAGGCGAAGTCATAAGTAACAATGTATTGAGGCTACGAGAGCTGAAATTTGTATACTTGAGGACTCGTTCTTAGCTCTCTGCGTTGTGAATCGGAGGTCTTTCTTTGGCGCTTAGCTGCTAGAAAGAGACGAGATCGCAAAGCAGGCGGTCGAGGGAAAGTAGTCGAATATCAAATCCGAGTTGAAGACTGCAGGAGTAGATGATGTAGTCAATCGTAGAAGTGAATGACGATCTCGCTTGGGCGAGTTTAAATTTCGTCAATTAAATTAAGGTGTGTGTGTGTTTGGTCGTCGACTTTTTTTTCTTCTTTCTGACGGGAACAGAAACGCAAGCGTTGATGGCAAAGCCCGGGTCTGTCCGTAAGAGTGATGAAAAAAAAAAAAAGTGAAGGCGAAACGGGGTATCTATCAGCAGAATGGTAGAAAAGAGCGTCTTTGTGTAAAATAAATAGAATCCTATTGGGATTAAGACGAGAGGTAACAACGGAGATAGGTAAGGTCTAACTTTGAGGTTACGGGCACGGGCGCGCGCGCGGACTCCAAGTCGATCTATCTCGTTGCGGAGAGATAGGTAATTAATTGAGAGGAGATGGATTCCCTGTAAAGAAATACAGAGAATGCAAGAAAATTCCGTCCTCGATGGAGATTTCAAGGAGGAGAAAATAACAACCTTCAGAAGTGTAATCTCTTCCTGAGGTTGCGTGGTTGATCTATGATCAAAAAGGTGGTGCAGGAGAGTAAAAAAAAAATTATGATGGGAATTTTTTGGGAAGGATAAGGAAAAAAACTGGCTTGGGTTTGCGACTGGGTCTTCTCTTTAGGTACCGCACACAACCTTTACATTAGGTACGCACTACACACCAACGCTGGGGCAGTAACAAGTAGGTACGCTAATGGGGCAATGAGCACCTGGAGATTGGGCCAAAGATATGCACAGACACTGTAAGATCGGTCCACTTTTTAAAAATTATCGGGTTAGGTATGTACCATGCACACCTAAAATATGCTATCTCGGTACTTTTGTTCCTCGACTCACTATCAAAGAGGTAACCCCTCAACTCCAAAGTATATTCGAATTTAGCATTTTTATACATTTATAGGTTCAATCCCTAGCACGTCACACAAATACGGTTGTACCATCGTGTTCTCTTACAGGAAATAACAATTGAAATAAAGAAAGAGAGTAATGGTAAATAATTTACAGGTTAGATTATAAGCTAGAACTTGTGTTTTGTTTGTTTTTTTATGCAATTGTTTTCTATGGTATGTACCTAGGTAGTAAAAAGTAGTGAGTGCATAATACATGATAACTCGATATGAAGTACTTCCATTTACTGCAAATACGGTGCATGTCTGCGGTGAACTGACTCCGTCAGTAAAAAAGATGCGTCGCATCTATGTATGACCTTGTCTCCTAAATCCGAACCTTGGCCATGTATTGGTTTGTAATTTAGTATACATAATTAGGTAGTTCATTATATTATAACTTCTTGATTTCTTGTATGATCATTTGCCTCTTTTATCTTATTCGGGTCTCCCGTGTACATAGGTCGAAAAAAAGAAAAAAAAAAAAAAAAACCTCTAAGCCACTAATGAATTATATAGTGTACGTACTACCTGTCTTGACGTGCCTTCCGTTAAGAATGTTGGCTCTTAGGGTTTGACTCCAACTTATCCACTATCCACCTATCTATTTTGTATTGGCAAGCACGAACAATTATTTATATTATCCATCCTATACCAGGTAAGTACCGTGCCTATGCTTCATTTACATTTCTTTAACTTAACCTTGATTGGATCGATATTACCCTCTTCTCTTCTCTTTGTTTCTTAGTCTCTCAATTTCTATATTCTTACTTCAATCTCTACCCTAAGCAAATATACCTTATAAGTTTCTTCATTTTAGTAATTTCAGCTTCTTGGCAAAACTCTACATATCCCTTCCCTCTTCCGACGGGGCGTAGACAAAAGTATTATTTTTTTTTTGTTGGATCATTCCACAGACTCGCGCTTGGTGCTTAATGATACGCTAGTCAATCATTTCGCTCCCCTGTTGGAGTTGTAAAAGTCGCCCAAGAACAAATCGTCCCACCTGCGAAATCTGAATTTGGGTGGCGTCTAGAATCTAGAATTGCATGTGTTAGGTAACTTTTCCATAACCAGCAACCCGAGTCGTTACGGAAGATGCCCCAGGTATATTCAAAATTTACCCCCCTTAAGGATTCCTTTAAGGAGGGAAGAATTTAAAATAAGCATATCTTTAACCAGTCCATCCTAGAATATTCAGTATAATAAGTTTCCTAATATTAATAGCAAATAGTACAATAGTACAATTACGAGAGAACCTAATCAGGACGAATCAAAGGTTGTATATTGTATATAATAGAAATCAACGTAACCTCACCGAGACCTAGGCATCGTTTAGCCCCTTGCCGTGCATTTTCAAGTTTTCCCATCTCGGGTTAATACTAAAGGAGGTAGGTATATGCAACCGACCATCTCTAGATGTATTTCCCATCATAATGGTTAAACGTAACAATTCGCTTGCAAAATGGCCGAGGAACGACCCCCTACACATTATATTTCTAGAGCTGCTTCGAACTCCTCGTATAAGAGGGATTATATAAATATATAAATATAGATGCTGTATGCGCAGTTGACACATGAGCAACGACATGGCATGGCATAGCATGGCATGTCAGATGCGCAATTACAACGAGTTGTTGACTCACCCCGAAATCACGCATATATGACGCAGTTTCGAGGTAAGCTAGACCCGTTGGATTGGACTCTAAGGGGGAGAAACGGACGAACTTGCGGGCTATGTACATGTATGTATGTAGGTATGTAGGTATGTAGGTATATAGGTATGTAGGTATGTATGCATGGAAGCGTATAGATGTCTAACCTAGTATATATAGGTATGTATATGTATATGCAAATTTGGCGTGGCGTGACTACCTAGGTAGGTATGCATAGAGTATCTGCTATAGTGTAACGAGTCAGAATCCTTCTGGAACCCGGATCTATGTATGTAAGTGTGTATGTTAAGTGGTGCCACAGAGTCGGCTCTACCTAACCTATGGTTAGATACACTATCTATCATACATAGCGATTAGGGCAAAACCATGACACACATACACACACACACACACACAACATAAACAACAGGATGCTGTCTAAGTGCGGCTTGTCTTAAAAAGTGTTTATGCTACAGAATGCCCAACGGTTGCCCGAACCTATTAGGATGCGCGCCCGCATGGCGGAACCAGAGACTTGATGGGAAAGTCCCGTTGTAGCCCTAATGGAGTAAAGTCATACAGGGCTGATATCCGCTCGTCATCATTGGTACGTTAGTACATAGTATGGTGGAGGTGTTTTTCTAGGGCTTGAGCCCATCCCATTCTTGGTTGGGATAATTCGTTCGCGCTTACATAGTACGTCCTAACGAAAACCCGTGGGGAAGTAAAAGAATAGTTTTAAACTTAACCCTTTTCAACGATGGTATTGTACTTAGGTGGTACGTAAACTACCTAAGGTAATCAAGTGTATACATAAAGCAAGAGGAAGATATACGATATACGATATACGATATACACACACAAAGTATGGCGTCGAGACAATAACATTTACGCTATTTAAATACGCCCCCTATGTTGTAAACAGTCATTATTAACTTTTCACAACCATCCCGAGTTGTGTAGGACCCTAAATCCATCGTACCCACGTCAAAGTTGTCACTAGTTCTTTATACACAGGTTTACGTCATTTATGCTGGGATCGCCCCCTATAGTCGCTTCAATTGGACCTTTCTCCGACTATGCTTCCTCAGCCTCAATTCTATCGCTTGGCACGTCCTCGTCGACTTCTTCGTCGCTCTCACCAACATAACCAACTTCATCTTCCTCCGCAACAGGCTGCAATATTTGCTCGGGTGGATCGACCGTCCCCGGCAAGCCGCGCTCCGCACGTAGCTGACTTATTTTTGTGGTTGTCATTTCGTAGACAAACTGGCCCAGATGCTCGATTCCTTCCATTACCGCTTCGCCAGGTACGGCCGTCCCGTCTTCTTCCGCCTGTATGCGCTCCGAAGGCCACATCTCACCAGTTGCAAGGGTAAGTTTATCTGGCCGTTGAAGTAGCAGCTCGAAAGCTGGGCGTAGCTCGTAACATGCTTCAAAAATCTCTCTTCGACCAAGGATATATAATCCGAGTCGGGCACGAGAGAGCGCCACAGTAAGACGCCGAATATCTCGAAGGTAGCCGACCCTCGATGTGCGCGTAAGTGAAAGGATAATATCTATCTATAGTTAGAAATACTGTTTTATCAATAGTGAATTTGGGTTTTACTCACAATCGTTTTGTTCGCCTTGGTATTTATCGACAGTTGTAACTATCTTAGGCAAACCGAATATAGGATTCTTTGCACATCGATGGAATAGCACATCTTTGATAAGGGCCCGCTGACCAGCGTAAGTGGCAAGGATACTGATTTTCGACGCGGGGTAGCCTAAGAGCCGCATGTACTGGTATATAGCAACTGCGTATTCTGCTTCACCTAGATTCTGAATAAAATGAGGCGTCGGTTCAACTTCTCCATGGCCCTTGTAGTCGGGGACACTGATGAACTGGTAATCATATTTGAATCCGGCATTGGCAGTTTGGAACTCTTTCAGGCTTTCGACATGCGGTAGGTTCCCCAGGTTGGGGTATCTCCATTGGTACAACGCCGCAATGGATGGACGGGCACGCCCTTGCTGGTCGAGTGTGATAACAGGCACTCCTAAGCGGACGAATCGAGAGAAAAGGGACTGCTCAAGATTGGCATAATGTCTAAAGGCAAGACTCTGTATGACAGGGGAGTTCTGGTAGTGATCACCGCAGAGAACGACCCTTTGTAGGGCCATCTGTCCACCTTCAGGCTTTTGCATAGCCAAAGGAATGAAACTCTCAACTTCAGTAATCTGGGCCGCCTCCTCCATAACCACGTTGTCGTAGTGGAAGCCAAGGGAGGCAATCTCAGTGCGGCGCATTGCGGCATGTGTTGATGTCATGGCAATGATGCGAGCTTCATTCGTTAGAAGATAGTTGGCCTTGTCTCGATCTCGCCGTAGGATCTCGAATGGTAAGACATCTTCTAGCTCGGAAAATATTTTTGATATATGATGGTAGCAGCCATTAGCTATGTCTAGCACAGTTTCTCGATCGCTCTCCGAGGGGAACAGGGGCTGAGGGGCATCGGAAAAGTAATTATGGAACGGGAAGGCATCGATGATATCAGTCGCCGAAGAACCTTCCGATTTGACTATCTCGGTGAATTTGGCCCAGGCAGGTTTAATGTAGACAGAGTTGAAATATCCCGCCGTCTCGGCAGAGTTCCCATGGGCTCCAGGAGCACCTATACTAGCTGCTAAACGATTTACTTCCTGAAGGTAACGATCCCTGATCTCAAGGAAAGACTCCACTCGGCCATGCTTACTGAAATTCCCGTCAGTGTCGAGATCTTCTTCTCCGTGACCAAGACGAAGAAGATGTCGTTCATCAATATCCAGAGCTACTATCTTCGCAAATAATTGATTCAGAGCTTGGTTAGAATGTGCAACTAGCAGAGTGCGCTGCTCGGGGAAGTTGTGGTATATGTTGTTGATGATCTGCGTCGCCACGTCAGTCTTGCCCGTCCCAGGCGGGCCAACGATAACGGTAAGGCCGGGTTGAGTGCCGGATATTATCGCATCAATCTGAGCTGGTGTGAAACGGACGCTATTCAGCTTTGGGGCATCGACGGGATATGGACCAGTATTAGGCGGCTTATATGTAGAGACATTATACGTCTCAATATCGGAATTTAGAGCGGGCACGGCATCCCTTCTTCGCTTCTTAGAGGGTTTGATCGTTTTATCTTCTGGGGGTTTATCCACTGACTCTAGCACGTAAGGAGGACCGAAGCTTGCGGTCACATTGAAGCCTGGTTCAATGGTTTTTCCAGGTAGACTCGCAACCAAGTGTTGCCAGTCCAAAAACGTATCCCTGAAGTCGAGTTTTCCAATTCGGTTTGGCAGATGCTTATACGTAGCGCCGGCAGGGTCGCCGTAGCCAAGGAAGTTCTCGTGTAACCAGGATGCTAGGGGTACTTCTGAAAGGCATAAGCTACGAATAGATTCTAACACAGGCTTGAAGTTATTTTCTCGGCCGCTTCGCCGGACGATTAGATTGATTCGCTCGTATACGTCTGGTTTGCCTTTGGAGATTCGATCTGAATCTTCTCTGTAAGCTTTTGGGTCTAATCTTAGTTGTAGCCTTCTTGTTGGTGATCTGTTATGCCCGCTGAAGTAAGTGGTAGGATCTCTAATAGATTTTCCTTTATCATCCATGACTTGGGCAACCTCGGCAGCCCGCACAGATATCAGCCCTAATTTTTGCGCTTCGGAGATTGCGTGAGCGCCCCCGTTGGAGATAGTTTTTGACACCGAAGCATCCACTGCAACAAGAAATACTACATCATCCGGGCGTAACGAATCCCAATCTCTTCGAATGTTGTCAGCAAGCCGACGAACGTCGAGCGAAATTTCAGCATTAACAGCGGAAGGTTTATCATCGCCAACGCGTGGTGGCACGACTTCGATAATAGAAGGCCGAGATATGGGAAGAGCCATTCTCGAAAAGCCGGCGAATGTTGTCTCTCCTGGACGTTTCGATTCTGGTCGTAGCCGCCTCAACGCATCGCCAATGTCTTTCCTAATACCGTAAAAAGCTTCGCAGCGGTAAAGCACCAGGGCCCTCCATAGGAAATCACCCACTGATAGGTATTGTAGCTTGAGCTTAGGAAGTGCAAGCGGCTTAGATCCGTCATAGTTATCCGTCCTTAGTAGTTCTTGATCGAAAAGGCTATCTTCAGTCGGAAGAATGTTGATATCTTGAGCAATCTCTTGGAACGTCTTGCGCTTCTCGTAGGTCGATAAGAGAATCTCCATCAAAAATGACCGATTGATAGTAACTTGGACTGACTCGGGGTATTCTGTTCGAAGCTCGAGCAAAGTAGCAAGTCTCTTGATCTCTTCATCTGTTAGAGCCTCTAGAAGATTTTCCAGTTCGCTCCTTTTATCTATGGACCCGTAATTAGACAACGCTAATACTGTTAGCTTTTCCTTGAAATATCGCAATGATGTTCGCTGGAGGTTTGCAAGCTTGGCGCAATGTCGATCATATGCTTCTGTTCGACTATGTTGAGCCCCTGTCTGATCATCTATAGTGAAGTGAACATAATGACTCAATAGAGAATATTGATCACGAAGTAACCCGTTTTCCTCGTCGTTAAACATGGGGGAAAGCCGTAGAGCAGGTAAGATATGTAGGTCTTGAAGCAAAGTGTTGACGTATCGCCTTGTTGGAAGCTGACTCAACAAGTCGGAAATAAATTCGACGAATCGCTCGCAATAGACGACATGTTCTTCTTTTCTTTTCTCGTCGTAGAGCAAACGTAGAAAGTCCAGTGTCAAAGTATAAAGCCAGGCTCTCTCAAATCGTAACCGGGCCTTGGTTGCATCATCTGCCGAGTCGTACCTTTTGCCTGCCGCCTTCCAGGCTTTTCTGAGCTGTGCATTTTGACCCAATTTATTTTCTCGTTTCGACTCGGTAGAAAGATTGTGCCATATGCCTATAGAAACCAAAGGGGCACATTCCTTTCTCACACTTGCCCAATCAAGGCTCTGAAAGGCGTATATGGTAAAACAAAGTAGGTGGGTTCGTATCGGTAGAGATAGCGTCTGATCAAGAGTCATAGAGAGCACGCGGGTGAATAAACTCGAGAACTCGGCTGGACGGTCCTCGAAGATGCTCCATGTCTCAAGTCTTTCCCTTGCTTTGACGTTCGTTATCAGGACTATTAGGAGGACGTGGAAATTAGATGAGTCTTCGGAATATCCAGGCCAAAGGTAACTTTCGAGGGTCTGTAATCCTTCGAGTACAAGTAATAACCTGTAGGGGAAACTATCTTTCTCGAGCACATCCCAAATATCACGTTTCAGTATCTCATTCTTGACCTTAACTCTCTTAGCTCGTTTAGTAGTCTTCAGCCAATGTTGCCTTGCAAGCTGGGCGAACTCGCTCTCGCCCTCCAAGTCGGCAATGGTTGGTCGTGGTTCGGTACCGCGAGACTTAGACTTTGCATCGCTTTTCAATCTTTTCGCGGTCGGCATGGCTGATAAATTACTCTGGCGGTATGCCGAGGAATTCTATGCCTGACTTATGACCTATGACGGTAAGGTACGTTACGGGCATGAAACTAATTAGCTATTAGACGTTACGTTAGGTATCTATACGATAAAGATGATTGAGAACATCACGTTGTAGCGTTGTAGCGCAAACATTTATTTTCTCAGCCTTGTCGCGTGTAAGTTGTTGATAATCAATACGTATTTTTTTTTTCTTTTTCATTGCATATCCCCAGTTTTCTTTCCCCGATTTACCCCTGCTCTTTACATATTATGCTACAGCATTGTACTTGCCATCCATGCACAATGACTATAACCCCTGCATTCATACCCCACTAAGGACTATCATCTAACCTTTAGTAGCTTAGTCAGTATTAAGAGGTATCAATGTACCAACATCTAAATCAGAAGCTCAGCCTTTCCTATTCTATTCAATTTATTCCAAGCTCAACACCTACCTACACCTCTATGTACGATCTGAGAAAAGACTGACACATAGAGAACGTCCTGTCAATTTCCAATACTCACATTCAATATATCGATCTAATGTCCGTGTCTCTAATATGATTCGACAACTTATCGACAATTATTCATTCGTTTGTTCGTTAATTGCCTACGCGTTTCTTTATTAATATTCGAAGCGTCTAATTCAGCTAGAATCCGTATGTTCAAGGCTACGATCAATAAATACCTTCAACCACGATACCCCCAACGAAGTTCATGATGCCTTCAGCGAAGCATCTAGATCACGAAATACCCCAGGTAGACGCTTTTGCAGCGCTTCTGAAGGATACCCTAGTTCATGCGCAGTCTGTCAAGTCGGCTACAACAATCGAACCTCCACTCACTAAGGTCGATTTTGAGAATGTCCTTGCCCAACTTTCCACTATATTTCCATGCGCTTCACCGGATTACGTTTCGGAGAACCTAGCGTCCGAGAAGGCTCGTCAGTACGCCGTCGTGGAAACGGCCGCGCGGAATGTGTTTAGCAGCTTAGTTGTTCGTACCAAAGTCCTTAATATATCCGCTGTTTGTTATCTATTGTTGACCCTTTCCAGGCTGGGATATCGATTGATTCTCCCGAGTTCGTCCAAATCTGGAATCTCTTCGACTTCCTGTCGGTTCTATCTGATAGCGAGCAATGCGACGCTGCCCTTCTTTTCTGGCTCGTGGAAGAGCTACTCGATAGCCAAACGACCGAGGGGTGTAGGAAGATATTCGACTTTCTTGAGTCTCGAAGGGAGCAAATTATCGCACAACATTTAAACTCCAAGAAGCTGGTTATTCTCAGGTCTTGCAACGACCTTTTACGCCGACTATCGCGGGCCGAAGACACGGCGTTTTGCGGTCGAGTCTTCATATTTATGTTCCAATGCTTTCCCCTAGGAGATAGGAGCTCGGTTAACTTACGCGGAGAGTATCATGTCGAGAATGTTACATCATTTGAAGAGACACCAGTCCAGCCAGACGACTCAACGGATAAGATGGCTGTGGACATGGAAATTGACACGACAAGAGATGGAAAAGACGAGAACAAGTCAACAGCTAAAGCGGTCTCATTCGATGGCAAGAACAAGCCAACACCTGAGAAACTCCTCGATACGAATGCTCTCTATCCTATATTCTGGTCGCTCCAACACTACTTCAGTCAACCCACAGTCCTTTTTGATTCTACACACTTGACAAAGTTCAAGGCTGGTCTAGAAGCCACAATGTCTGCATTCGATATAGTCGCGAAACTCCAAAGAAGTACAAAGGGGTCTGACGAGAGCAAGATACCCCAAAAGAGAAAACATGGCGAAGGAGATGATGATCTCCGCAGTAGCACAAATAACCCCAAGTACCTCACAAGTAGAGAGCTTTTTGAACTAGAGGTACGTGCTATTTCTTGCGGAACCTAGCTAGTAGAGCCATTTCTAACTATTACAGATGGGCGATCTATATTTCAGACGTCACATTCTTATACAAGCATTTATCGTCTTAGAATTTCTCCTATCGCTCACCCCCCAGGCCAAGGCAAAACTTGCCAAGATCAAAGTCCAGAATAGGTCAGTAATATATGGCGACCAAAAGCTAGGAGAAGAAGATGTAAGTCTACTCATAATCATTACAGCCTAAAATTGCTAACCATCCTCAGGCAAAATGGACATCGGCCATGAGGGATAGGATAGTTCTCTATATGCAAGCTGACTCTGATGGATTCTTCTTTCATCGTGTAATCGAGAGCGTAATCTCGAGAGACAAGAATTGGGCCCGGTGGAAAGTTGAAAGCTGCCCACCCATCAAGCGAGATCCCCTTTCGCCTACCGACTTCGCGGAGGGAAAGGCTAGTGCAAAACGCATCGCAACTAATAAGAGGCTGCGCCCTGTACCCATGGGATCGCTATCTCTGGATTTCCTAAAGGAAGAGGACAGTGAAACAGCAATGGAAAAGTTAAAGGATCCAGAAAGATGGAGACTTCCTGACCTGGGTGTCTTCAAAGAAAAGATAGCATCAGACGACCTCGACCTTGACTTCGCGAAAAGCGAGACGGAAAAGTCGGAGATACTCGAGGCCAAAGCTAGCAAGACATGGAGAGCTCTTAGAATTGCTCGGAGATCAAAACTTTCCGTCTTTGACAAGATCGACGATTGGCAAAAGGTTGATGTTATCTTTCAGGAGCAGCCAAGCTCAGATGATGGTGAAGAAGAAACAACTGAGAACGACCAAATACCGGAAGATAGACGGCCGATCATTCTGACAGGACCAAGCAAAGTCGGCAAATCGACATTACTCTCAAAACTCCTAGAGGACCGTAAAAACGTATTTGGAGAAGTTATCTCGCATACTACCCGAGCTCCCAAGGATGAAGAAGTCAACGGCCAGCATTACAATTTCGTAGATACCGCGGAATTTAATCATATATTAGAGAATGACTACTTTATGGAGTTCATCGAACGAGACGGAATCCAATACGGAACAAATCAGAAGCTAGCTCAAGCTCTAGAGGAGTCCGGAAAAGTCCCCATCATCCAATTAGACTGCGAGGTAAGTCCAATCCTATCTACATATGTACGCTATATAACCAGGTCGTACTAACCCTACTCCAGCGCGCCCAACTAGCCAAAGACAATGGCTACTCTGCACGGATCATCTTCATCGCGCCACCTAGTATTGAAGAGCTCGAGACACGGTTGAAGAATTCCGGCATAGCAGAAGAAGACCTGGAAGGCATACTGAAGACCGCCCAGGAGGACATCGAACACTCCAATTCTGGGGAAGTTTATGATGCCATCATTACGAATGACAATTTAGACGAGACATACAAAGCCCTCGAAGAATTCATCTATGGAACCTCGGGAGAAACGGGGGCAGAAGCGGAAGCAGAGGTGGAAGCAGAAGCAGAGGACGTCAACGGCAATACAAATGGTGTAGCCGCAGCCGACGATGTAGCGATGGAGGATGCAGTAAATGGCGAGGAGACACCGTCGTAGGATATCGATGATTTCCCTCGGGGTTCAGCGTAATGGAAGGTTGGGGTGCAATATTTCAGTCTATACGAACGGGGCGGATAGGGCTTCAGGAATATGCGTTAGGTGAACATTCCACCGTTGGTGCCCACCTTTGAGTCGTTTTGGTCCCTACAATCACAGTATGTTGGACATCGATAGAACGAGAAGGGGCCCGGGTTCGAATAGACGTGTTATTAGTAGTCATTCAAGATACCCATACAATTAATCCTATTATCAGGGGTTACCTTTTTTGAGATATAGTAGTGTGATTTATATCTTGATTGGTACCTAGTTTGTAAAGTGCTAACTAGTTCTATATATCCGTGTCGTATTAGCTACCTGAGGTACCTAAGCAATTGGGACGGGTTTAATGGCTTTAAGGTCAAACAAAGGTAGTCTACGCCATAAAAATAAGAATTATTAAGTAGATACTAATTCTGTCAAAACTAACTTACAGTTTCATAGTTAACAATAGACAAAACTCGAAAATTAAGTAGTTAAATACTAATCAGGGTATATTATATCCCTAATATCTCAACCTATATACCACGAGGTCCCAACCTCTATAGAGCTCATTCTTGGTATGAAGAGTATTCTACGACTATCTTTTTTTAGCCACGCACCCCTATGCTCCAAATACTAGCATTTATGCCACACCCGAAAACAATGAAACGCCACCGCTATGCAGTAAAATAATGAGAGCCAAGAAGACTGGCTTTTTTTCTATCTTGTGATATCCAGATCCAGATCGGCTTATCAAACAAGTAACAAGGAGGCTACTAGGAAAGCAACTAGGGCCTCGGTGCCAAGTCCGAGACCCTGATGTTTCGGACCAGCAGTAGCTGTCGCGACTGTTGCAGTTATGCCGGCATTAGATCGACCAACAGCGGTGATGCTGTTCAGGTTGTCTGCTGTCTCGATTGCTGGTCCCTCGTTGAAGAAATCAACCAGTACGAAGACGGGCTTGGTACCCCACTGCTCGTTACATGTTTGAGCATGTAGACCCAAGTTGCCTGTGGTGGAGGTTGATGGGCTGTTTGTGATCGTGATATTATCCGAATTAGGGACCATGATCGAAGCGCCGAGTAAGTTGTATGCAAAGTGATTCATCAGAGGCAGCATCCCAGCTTGGATGGCAGCGCCGGCCGAGCTCTGGGAGGATGGGCGATCGAGGGTACAGTTGAAGCCGGAGAGTGATGTTACCTCGAACGGCGTCTCAAAGACGTGGTCAAACTCGGATAACAGATACGGATATTGGCTATCCGCCGTAATAGATGCGATGAAAGTCACCAGTCGCGTATTCGCAGTAATCATTTCCTGCAGCGTCGGCCATGTAGTCCCTGAATGCGTGTACCCGTATGTATCGATACCCGAGCCACTGAAGACGGTCCCAAAATCGGCTGCGCTCTTGCCATCAGAGTTAACAATCAGAAGAGTCACTACTTCGTTCGGGTGAGAATCCATCCACGACTTAATGGAGGCTAGCCAAGTCTGAAGAGTCCCAGCATCGAGTAAACTGCAAGAAGTATGGCATAGTTCGATAGCGCCATTCAGATCGTGAACTTGGGCCTGTAATAATCGGATCCCTGCATCTAGAGCAACAGTAGCATTGAAGTACTGGTTACCAGCTATCGAATTACTCGTGCTTGCGTCTCGGAGAAAAGAAGAGTCGTGGGCTCCCATATGAGTGATATCACTATACGAACGGCTGCATAGGTCGGGCGAGTTGTTGCAAGCGGTCGTCGAGGAGGCAGCAGACGCGGACGCTGTCGAACTAGGGGTTGCCGAAGCAAAGGAAGAGGTCGAAGAATAGACAGAACCCCCATATCCACCATCATAATTGCCATCCTGCGGCAGGGAATAAACCGGTACCGTCAAGGCGGCGGTGATAGTGAAGAATGTAGATAACGAAGGAAACATGTTGTCTTAGATAGGTAGTTGCTGATAAAGGGAAAAAAGGAATAACTGGAATAACTGGTACTATTCGCTGTTCTAATAGTATATAGACAGAACAGACGACGGAATAATAGGAAAGGGAAAGAGACATATACCTACCAGAAAGGAGGTAACGGGGAGTAAGTATTACCTTATATTATCTTTAATACGAAGAGATCTACTTCGTATCGTATATGTTTTAAAGTTGGCCAGGAGGTTAAGGGAGAAAGAGAGAGAGAGCCCTCCAACCATCACAAATAAAACAGTACCATAGTAGGACAAGAGAGAAAAGATGCATTGTCCATCAAGACGATCCCTGTCTACAGCAAGCTCTAGATCGACCATGAATGGTTCGTGTTTTGTGGGGTGGTCAAGCTTGTGGTCGGCAACCCATCGACTGCGCCTCCACGGGACGCGAGGGTCGTCCAGCTTTGCGTCGTCAGCGCCTTTCAGACTTGAAACGAACCAAGACCCGCCGGCGCAGCTTGATTTCGTAGCAAGCCGCGACAGTTGACCGGTTTTAGCATGCTGAACTTGTATTGGCGAGGAAATAAACAACGATTGGCCTTGTTTTTCATTGTACATAGGAGGGGGAAAAAAAGGTGGTAGGAATAAAAAAATAAATGGTTGGTTATTGTTTGTATAAATGATAGTTATATGCATTTAACTGGCTTGTACAACCTATGAGTTGTACACAAAACCCTGCTACTTGCATACACGACTTATGTAACGCTGCACCAACCTTCTGCTTGCACAACGGTATTACGTAGTTGTACCTGACCCTTGTCCTATTTTTATATTTTACCCTAGTAGGCGCATATCTGCAATTTTCCTATTGGACGACTTTTCAATATTCAGGGTCCCAACCGTCTGGGACCCGTCAAACTACGCAAGCCTCAGCCCCCAGATATGTACATTGCCGCGCAAGTTCATTATTAACAGTCATCCGTTAGTTATCATGCATTTTCCACGCCATGGACAAACCATTAAAATTAAAGATAGGTAGCTACTCTCTGTAATTTGGACCATTAATACAAAGATAATCTGGAGTGGATGTTGACATTTCTAAACCATTGACTTAGATCCCCTTTCAGTATCCTATTAATAAAACGTGTTGTACAATAATCTCCAGGCTAAGTCTCAAGTAAACTCAAAGGGGGTTATTAAATCATATGGTCATTCTACCGTCTTTGAGAAATATCTCAAAAGGTACCATATGTCAAGGATGCGAGAAATAACACATCACAATCCAAATGCCTCTATTGAACTATATTGGTATTCCTAGCCAGTTCGCCTGTATGCTTACCGTTACAGTCACAATAATCCCGTAGGTATCAAGTTTTACCTTGAGCTTATCACGCCCTCATGCTTTTCACCATCAAAGATCTGCTGCACGGCCAAGATATAGCCAAGGCGACATGATTACTCCGGATCGTCCGCATACGACTCTAGTGCCGCTTGTTCTTCCATCTCTTTCAGATGTTTTTGTCCTGCCTCCGTAGTGGCATCTATTATTTGTTCTTCTACGCTCAGAATTCCAGCCTGTGTGATCGTTAGTAAGCCGTTATACGTATGCTTTGATGGTGGATAAGACATCTTACCTCGCTGAGAAGGGCAACTATTTCCTCGGCATCTTCAACCTTCAATTTGCCGAGTACTTCGTTCACCTTATCTAAACTGCCAGATTCTAAGGCCTTTTGCATTTCCGGGGTAAATCCTTCGAAAATCTCGCGACCTTTCTTTTCGGCTTCGTCCTCTCCTTTCTCAGGTGGGATCTTAATCTTGATTTCGGTACCCGGCTCCACAGCGTGCAATTGGATCTGTTCCACTCCTTCTCCGGATCCACCTTCAGCTTCTCGCTGGGCATTAATTTCAGCCGCACGGTTCTTGATCCTGTAGTATGTATCTTGCACATCTTTATAGAAGACATCCTGCGCTTGGTGACCTTTGGTAGTGATACGCTTGAAGAAGAGCGCGACGCCGTCTTTACCTAACGCGCGACAATACTGTAACAGGAGAGCTTGGTGGACGCATTGTCGTGCGAAATCATCATTCCCTTCCAGCTGGGCATCAAATGCCATGATTAGAATACCGTCGGTTTCCTTCTCGGTTAAGATGTGTGGGTGTGCACCAATGAAGGAATTGCTTTCTCGATAATCGGATGCCTTTATCTTGGCGAACTTTTGAGCGTCAGGTGACGCCGTGATCTCGCTATCGTCGTCTTCCGTGGCTGACGAAGACTTCGACTCCTCCGGCTTAGACTGCGAGAAGCTGGGGTTGAGAAGTTCCACTTTGGAGTCGTCGGCTTTCTTCGCCCCAGATTCAGATGGGGTAGATTTGGTGACATGTGAACTATCAAACCCCGTATGGATGCCATCGCTTGTAATCTTGCGGCTTTCTTCCTTCTCTAGTTCTGCCAACTTGCTTAATAGCTGCTGTTGTAAGTCCTCGACCTTACTTAAATGTACACCGATTTCTTCCACCATGGCATTATAACGGTTCTCGGGTTTCTTTTCGTCGAGTTCCTTGTTGACTTGGTCTAGTAAAGTCGCCATCATTTTAGTATATGTAGGTGGCTGCTCTTCTTGCGCGTGGACACCTTCGGGTCGAGCAGGAGGCTTGTCGTCCTCAGGTCTACCGGCAGACTCCATGACAGCTTGGAAAGCGACCTCGGCAGGGTTTCGGGTTTCTGCCTCAGCAGCATGAGCTTTTAGGGCGTTTAACAGGCTCGATATTCTCTTTAATAATCCATCGTTGATTTGGCGTTCGTATTTTAAGGTTTCGATCTGGAGCTTACGTTGCTGTCGCTCCATGTGTATTTGGTTTTGTTTAGCGCGAATGAAGGAGCGTTTATCGACATTGGGATGGACCTCGATATCGGAGTCATCGCTGAGCTCCAGAGCATCCTAAGATGATAATATACATATTAGCTTCATTCGAGGCTCGCAGGCTCTCTCGTGAGACACGAAGATAGATTCATGTACTTACCCACTTGCTATAATCCACAGGCATTTTGACGGTATATAGCTAAGTATCTAAAAAGGTTATTTCTTCCTACGATAGTTATCCAGGAATTGCAAGTCGGAAAGATATAAGAGATAACTCGTTTCGTCTCTTGTAGTTAGGTATGTAAAGTAAAGGTGAAATATTTACCCCGCGATTGGGGGTTTATTGATGGGGGGCTTATCGTTATCGAGAATGTTCTTGCAACTACGAGAGTAGGTACATAGGTACATATTGCGATGGCTTGGCGATGACGGATTAGCGTCTAGATCTATTCCTACGGCAACTATACCTAATGTATTTTAGACCATTATGTATAAACTTTATCATAGTATACATAACTACCTCTGATGAATATTAAACAGTATAACTATCACCTCCCTCTACCTTCTTTGAGTACCTATTAGAGCTTACCTAAGGTAATTACAAGGTTATCCTATGTAATAAAGAGCCTTGAGTTATCGTCATGCCCCCCTTAAATACTTAGACTCATGTCTGTATCTTGACTTTAGTCTCCAGAAGACTTTGGAAGGCGGGAATAAATAGACGGCTACCCTAGATATATAATAACATGTACTGCCCCTGCTTTGCAAGACCCTATAAGGTCTAAATAAGTTATATCCATGTCATTAGGAAGCTCCAGTTCAGAATGATAACTACATATTTAGATCTCAACATCGTGCCTCCTCGCTCTTTAAAGCAAGCAGCTACCATATCTCATCTTGTTCACTTAGAATATATCGTCATGCATCGTTCCCAATTCTTCCATCCCTTAAGTTCCCAAGTAGATCATCTAGCCAGGCGTCCTCTTTTAATCGACTAATTAATTCAACTTAACTATCTACATTCTCTTGCCGGCTAAGAACGAAGCTACACGAGTGACATCCTCAAATAGACCAATCTTCTTACCACTACTCTCTTACCGAACAAATAGCCAAGAATCAAAGTTATAAATACAACTCACACGGTATTATCATAAGACCACGACCACTATGGATCACGACCATGTAATCACTATCGAGCTCGGGAAGCCAGAGGAGTATGACCAATCTACCGAGGACATCACGCCGAGCCCAACACCACCGCCGACCTCCAGCCAAAGAAACCAGGGGCCTCGGTACGCAGCTTCGACCAAGTCCTGCTTCTTCTGCCAGAACACGCTTCTACTAAGCTACTTCAACTGCTGCGCCGTATGTCTCGGCACCATTGAGTGCAGCCAGAGACGCAATAAGCCCGACAACAATAACAGCAACAGCAACAGCAACAACGAAAGGCCAGCATCAGATTCCCTCCCCTTGCCTATCACGCAGCCGCGGGAACCCTCAGTATCACCACCACCACCAACAACAACAACAACAACGCCGCCCCCCTATTCCTCCTCCTCTCCCTCAGACGCCGAAAACCACAAACCTCCTACCAAAGCCCCCCACTGCCCCAGCCCCTACTGCCGATACACGCACACCCGCCCTCTCATGCTGGTCTTCGCGCTGAGCGAAGCCGTGCCTTCCCTCGGCGGCCTGGCGCTGCTCAACGCGGCGCTGTACCGGCACGACTAGGCGCAGTTCCGGTTCGCGGGGATGCTGGCGCTGCAGTGGTGGCAGATCTTCGTGCTGCCGCGGCAGTGGGCGCGCGGGCGCTCCGTCGTCGCCGGTCAGCTTGTCGCGTGCCTGTTCATGGTGTGGTTCTACGTCGACGGGAGTCGCAACTGGAGGTGGTGGGAGCCGCTTGCTGTTAGCACTGTGCTGTTGAAGATTGTGTTTCCTTGGTAAGGGTTGGGGGGGGAGGAGAAGGAGAGGGAAGAGGAAAGAAAGGAAGAAAGGGGTGTTATGAGTGAGTAGCTGAGGCTAGCTAGTCGCTCCTTGGGTCTGGTGGACTTGCGATGCGCACTTATATGGTGTTGAGGGTTCGATTAAGGGGCTACGTACTAGTAACTGTATTCTTTTCAAACGAAGACATGGATTAGAAAATCATAATTCTATCACTAGTCCCTGAGATGCCATGTGGTCTCTGCTATCTAATAGGTATTAATAAGGCCACACTAGGTAACCTGAGTGTCTGTAGGAGATATTAAATGAAGAAAGGCCTGGGGATGGTTACTATATTAGATACAAGCTCATACTAGTAAGTTTAATGTGTTACTATGAAAGTGGTTTCATTATGGTACTGCGTAAATATCGTTGCTCGTGATATATACAGGTTGAATCAGTTGTAGTTTAATGAAATATAAACACTCAACGCGCATCATATGCCTTGTCGAGTAGTTCTCGTGAGTAAATCAGCTCATCGTCATCTCCATTAACTGTGGTTGATAATATCGCAACAACGCGCTCAAGCATCTCGATTGCATTCTCAATCTCGCCGGAAATGATATATGCATCTGCCAGGCATCGTTCTGATTGTAGTCGAAATTTGTCATCTTCAGGCAATGTTACCTTTCTAATAATGACAACATGCTTAAGCAAATTAATTCCTTCTTCAAGCTGTCCATTATTCACGTAGGCGACTGCTAAGTTATGTTCCGTGATGAGTAAATGTTTGTTGTCTTCCGCCAAGGTCTTCTTTTGAATGGTTCTAATATGCTCATATAACTCGATCGCTTCCTTAAACCGCTTAGTCTTACGATATGCGTTGGCACACCAATTTTGTGACGTAAGGTAAAAATCATCGTCTTCCGCCAAGTTTTTCTTCATAATAGGTATAATGCGCTCAAATATGCTGACCGTTTCCTCAAATTGGCTGTTTCTATAATATGCCGCTGCTAGCCCTTGCTCTGTTGTTAGTAGGTTGATGTGCTCCTTCCCCCAAACTTCTCTCCCGATGGATATAATATGCTTAAACATATCAATCGCATCCTCCAATTGGCCATTGACACTGAATGCTAATGCTAGCTGATGTGTTACTGCTAATCGATGGGGGTCGTCTTCTGGGAACTTCCCATAGATGACGAACAAACGCTTAAGTATCTTGACCGCCTTCTCAGCCTGTTCAGCCTGTTCAGAGCTCGCGTATGCTCCTGCTAACGTGAATTGCATCTGCAGTTGAACGGGGCTCTCATCCTCAACAACTACCACGGGTTCCAATAACTTAATCGCGTCCTGATCCCGTCTTATGTGAAGATATGAATCTGCCAAATAGCTCTCTAATGGGAATAGTAGGGTGTTTTCTTGAAAGTTGTGTTCTTTTCTCCGCGTTAAAGCTTCACTTAATACTTTGCTTGCTTCTCTAAATCGTCTAGCACCATAGAGATACCTTCCAACGTTGCAAGATAATTCATATATCTCCCTTATTTGGTAATCTTTGCCTTCTTCAAGCAAACGTAAAGTATGTGGCATATATTCTCTCCACACCTTATGGTCCGTTAGGTTATAGAACAACAAAATCGACGAAAGATCGATAATCGCGTCGGTTCTTATCCGTTTTAGGTCATGGTCCTGCAACCATGCTCGTATCGCTATATGTACTAACCTATGCATATCAAACATAGAACCGTTCTCTTGTCGAGTTATGAATGCGTACCCTAAAAGTGTACCAATTGCATGTTCGAAGTCTACTTCCGACTGTTGGGCAGGTAAAAGCGATTGTGGGATAGCTTTCGGATCGAGGCAAGCCATAAACGAGAACATATCTGCTGCGATGCGATCGCACTTCCGAATTTGTTCGAAAGAAACAGTCCACGTCTTTATAACTGCTCGGGGCATATCTAGGATATCATCGTAGAAAGCCCGGTCCATTAGGTTGACGACGTTCCGTTCTTCACCCCGTAACAGGCTAAGGTACTTCTCGACTGACATCATATTCTTATTCATATATGAAGCGGCCTGTACGATGGCAAGGGGGAGATACGTAAGTTCCTTAACCAGTTCGTCAATTGTCGTTTCGTTTTGGTCTTGATCCGGCTGATCTGCTTTCTTATATGATCTGAAGAGGCTTTTTGCCTCTTCGGGGTTCATTTCTCCGAGGTCGACCACATTGTTTATCGCTACGTCCACGGCTACTTCTCTCAACCGTGTGGTAAAGAGGGTTAAGCCATAATCATTTTGAGGTAGGTGTTTGATCATACCAGTTGAATCGTTCGATTGAAATGTTGCTTCGTGATCGTCCGCATTATCAACGATCAGAAGCCACTTCCCAGCATTCTCGGAGCTGAGATGTTTCTTTACCAGCATTTTCTGGTCCTCTTCACCGGAAATCTGAAGCAGCTTGGCCAAGCCCGCATACGATTGCTCGAAAGTTGCTTGGCTCTGTGCTAGCACCCAGAAGACTGAATACTCAGGCCTGTGGTCTCGTACCCGGTACGCAAACTCTAGGGCCACTTGTGTTTTCCCGACACCCCCCAGACCAAGAACTGCCAATTTCTTGCGTTTTTTGACGAAAAAGTGGTTTTCGATTTCTTCTAGAATTTGGTCTCGACCACCAAAATGTTCATTTCTAAGATGCGGAATATGATAAAGGGATTTACTAATGATGCCTTGGCGAATACTTCGAGGAACACCTTAAAGAATGTCAACAACTACAAAATTCAACTAAGCATATTGCTATAATGTACTAACTCCTTTGAAGGCCCTCAGTGATAAAACTTTCGATGACACTGTAGATCCTTGTATACTGGTGGTCTTTCTTATTGCTGCACCTTGCCATCTGCATGTGGTCTGCATCAATTGTCTGAACCTCCTCTTGCGTTTCCGGCAAGCCCATTTTCGAAGAAAAATCGTCCACCACCTAAAAAATTGTACAGATTGTTAGCTAATACCTTCGATAGTGTAGAGTTAAGCAATATATACCTTGCCCTTGAGCCCTTTCACGCCTGATATGCCCCTCGCTTCTTGGAATGAGCTAATCATAATGCCTTTTTCCGCAACGCTGTTTATGAACTGGGTGTGGATAATGTTGAGGACCTCGCTATCAACTTGCAGGGTCTTGACGATTTTCTTGTTAGAGTCTTGTAGGGCAAGAGTGGCTAAGTTTGCTGCGATGGTTCCCCATGGTGCAGCCGAGCTACCCCTGTGTGGTGTCCCAAGGAAAATAATCAGTTTCGTTTGTGAACTACAGATATTTGATCTCCATATTGCCTAATTTTATTAGTACTAATGCTACGCCGTTATTTCTCTGATGATTTGTCTTACATATTTGACGATGATTCCGCCGAGGCTGTGTGCAATAAATATGATCGGTTCGTTGAACCCCTAGAACTGTCAGCCTAATAAATTTTACTGTAGTTGGGTTGAGGGATGTTAGATTACTTTGGTCCTAATATTGTGCTTAATTTGGGCGGCAAAATCGTCACCGTGTTGCGATATGTTATTCTGATTATTTGCTTGAAAGACTTCAATGACATCGGCATTATACCCATATGTCCATACTCTCGCTTTGGGGAAATCCTCAGCGAGATAGTCTCGTGGCCAGAATACCTTATGCTGTTTCGACGAGGTCCCATGGCTTTCATTTTCTTCAATTTTGTTTGGTTCGGCATCATGAGTCGATACACAACGTATCAGGCGTGAAAGTAGCTTCAAGATCTTGCGTCGTCTTGTGAGCGCAACTTGCTTGCCTCTTTCAGTCGAGTTGTCTTCCCAAGTTGTCTGCGGGTGACCCCTTAACCCGTGTACGAGGATGATGCTAAAATAGACTGGTTAGATCGATACTATTGATAGAAGCATTGATTACCGTTAGGAAACGTCCATATTACGTACTTGACTTCGCATGATCCACTTGCGGGGCTGGAAAGCTGCGTGAGCCCAATGCGTTCTATACTATTCTCAGACATGGGTATGAGATAGATACAACAATAACAGAAGTAAAATAATCCTAAAGCCTAATAAAATTGTATGTCCTCAGATAAGGCTAATACTATGAAACTTTAGACTATCCCAAGGTTGGATGGTGTTATTAAAAGGTGATGCCCGACTTTTCTTGAGGGGTTGCCTTAAGGCTGAGCAGGCTTTTCCTGAAGGAATCGTCCCGATTAAGAAAAAGAAGGCGTTAACTGCAATTATGGCTTGCGTATTATTGATTATCTAGATACCTAAGGCATGTTGTGCTACCTCATATGTAATACTAGGACATTAATCGTTAAATAAATTTTATTTCCCGCTTATCTAGTACGCCGCCCCAATAAGCTTCTTAGGCAAGAAAGCCCATACAGTCCCAATAATAGAAAGACTCAAGGATATGAGCATAACAATCCAAGTAAAGATGCGTTCTCGCGCCGAGATCTCATGTCCAAATAACTTCAAGTAAAAAGCCAGAGGAAGTCTGCGAATTTGTTAACTGCTATATTCTCCAAGAGCCTGGCATAGGTAGAAGAATATCAACACTTACGTAACACATATAGTGAAGCAGAGGGCGCTTCCCATGAACGCCATAATGGTATCAAACGCCGGGAAGAGAATAGCAATTGCCAAAAAGACGAAGAGCGTCAAAACTCGGACGAGAGCTTTCAGCACCCCTCTCGAGCTGCTAGAGAGCCCGACAAGGGGTGTTTCCTCCGCGACGACTTGTTGTCGAAGACCGAATAAGACTTCCAGAATTGTGACGATCGGTTGAGAATTCAGAGGAATCTTAGTCAAAGGAATAATTGCGATGAAGATCACAAGGAGAACGTTTAGAACGTCGGGATATCCCGCGGCTTCAAGAATATTCCCCGTGATCTCGTCGCGGACTCCATCGCCAAACATTAGTAGTCCTACAACAGCTACAGCAAAATCTATTATCAACTACAAGTTGTTAGTTTAAGTACTTATCGTGTTCATTGGTTAGGACCACCGAGACTTACAGTGAAGCTAAACGTGTATCCAACCGCCTATTCAAATATTAGTCAAACCCACTACTGATAAATTTATTATATTTACTCACCTCCTTAAAGCGATGGGGATGCCGCATGTCACGATAGATCTAGATTTGGGTTAGATAATTGGCCTTTTATCCTCGGTCGAGATGGACTTACATTTGGGAAAACACTGTGCCCACCCCATGGAGACATAAGCAATCCAAAGGACAGAGGTAAAGTAAGCCAATTGTCAGGGAACAGATATGTCTTCGCAGGCTCTATAAGAGAACCAGGCGAGTGCGGTTTGATCAACCCGTCAAGGATGACGATGACAATAACTAGACCATTTGGTGAGTATTTCAACACTGGCGGCGGGTTTGCGGAGAACTTACTGCCTAGACACGAGACCACACCAACCAAGCTAGTAACAGAGAGGAAGGATAGAGGAACGAATTGCAGAGGTATGAGGATCAGAGTACAGATGATCTTCCACTCAGTCACACTTAGTGTACCCGGGAACAAGAGTGCTAGCGAGTCGGCAAATAGTACTATAAGAGCCACACAAGCAGCAAGCAATTCCAGAGTGAAGAGCACTGCTGTCATGATACGCGCTTTCCTACCAAAGCAGGTATACGCTATGTCAGAAAAGGTTATTGTGCTAGGATCGCGATTCATGCATCTTGATAATATTCTCGCCGTCCAGCTGGTTAGTGCGGCACATAGAAACAGCGCAATAAGCCCACAGACCCAACCGGCATACTTCAAACCCATGGGCAGACTCAGTAAGCCGACACCGATCAGGACGCTATGTTTGAGATTTAGCTATGGGCCTCTAAAGAGAAAGAGGGGCTTACTCACTTAGTAGAGTTTACAACTGTTTGTGGTAGAGTTGATTGACCGGCTACAGCTAGCACGAGCCTCCCTTCTTGCTCAACCTCTTTTACAAGGATGGGCGGCCGTTCGCCATCAGGTACATTTGCTCCTGATTCTTGCTGCTGACGCCATAGGTCTGCGGCATGGACCATGGAAGAATGAGCAGTCGACTGAACGGTACCATAGCTTCGAACGGACCCATAACTACCAACTAGAGGAGAAACAGAAAGGTGTGGTGGCACAGAGAATAACGAATTACTATGAGGGGAGCCGGGCGGTGATGATACTCGGTATAAATCGCTGCCCGAGCGTTTTCGCTCGCCTTCCGGTCCATCTGCTCTTGATGAAGGCGTTCCAGCTGGCCCGGGCTCCTCGTGATCGATACTGTGGGGCAAAGGAGCTTCAACATCTTGTCTTAAGGGAGAAGCTCTGAGACCCGCTTCGAGGTCGCGCCCGGCGTACTGATTAGGGTCGACTGACTGAACTGGCTCTTGATCTGGCGCAAATACAAAAGTCGGATGTTGCGGTAAGATTTCTGGGAAGGCGGCGGCTCGTTGCCAACTCCTCCCAAAAGACCTAATACTATTGACACCACCAATATCGGCCACCGCAGCAAGACGATTCGTTATAGATGACCTGTAGGAATAGATACAATTAGTCTAGGCGAAGGCGAATCGATGGCAGGTATGCCAACCTTCGTCCTGCTCGTCGCGGGTGTTCTTCATCGTGCCCATGAACATCCTGGTCACTTAATAATGCTTGGTCCTCAGAGCGAATACTCATATTACTGATAGACAATAGACTATCGCTTCGGCCGGGTGAAGCCCCGCGATCGTATTCATCCCAGGTTGTAGGCTGCCTCGCAGCCATGTCTATATGTTAAGACCACAGATTAAGAGAAGAAGAATATTCGAAATATTATGAGATAAGATATGTAGAAGAGGGTCAGTAATTTAAATATTTGATGGATATATTATTAGTGGCACCTCAGCGACTAAAGATGTGGAAAGATGTGGAAAGCTATCTATGTTAGCTCTTCAGCCTCAGTATAGATTACCCAGATTGAATCGAAGGAGATAGAGGAAAGATTTGGTCAGAGATACTTTTAAAAATATCGAAAAGATAGATGCAATCATGCGCGTACATATATACCCCAGACTATGCAGCTACCTCGTTTTGATAACGGTGGAGTCAGTGTGCAGAAACGACGGATTGTTATGATGTTGAAGTTATTTATTATACTACGCTAGTACGATGACTAGTCTGATACTTGGCTTGCTAGGAAATACATGTACCTACTTGCCGACGCGGAGAACGGTCCCATGATTTAGCTTTTGCACCTGCCCATGTTAGACGAGAGCATTTGTAACTTAGAGGTATCCAGGCCTCGGGGAATTAGGGAAGTAGGGAAGTAGGGAAGTCACTGCTAATCCATCATCGATGTTTCCATCACGCCACATTATTGGACAATGGATTCAATGTGGGGAAGTAGTACAATCCCTTTTTGATTTTTAGCTTGAGAGCAAGGCTGATAATGTCACACGAATTACATACGAACATCCATCTACTACCTCTTACGAGGAAAGGAAAAAAATTTCCTTCGTCCTGATGATGCCCTCTAACTTTGCAAAACGAAACATCGGAATCTATCGCTTCTCGTCGGGCTACGTAAATTACGGGAGCATCACTGGAAACTAACAGCAGATGCTGGAAATTTCGTGCGGCACTGTACACAACGTAACTCTACTCGCCCGGGGAAGATCTTCCCATTGGGTGTTTTATTTTTCGAGAGATAAGATTGCGCAGTTATGTGACGTCATTTCGTACTGTATGGGGTATGAGGTTGGATCAGATATTGGCATGCTGCAAGTAAAGTCATGCGCCGCAAAGCTTTTAAGGTTTGTCCGAACCATTGCCGCTTATAGCGGATTACGGTGTGATTGGTCTGTTAAAGAATTGCATACTGCTCACGAGAGGTCGGGTCGTCTAGTGTGAGTGTGATGTCCAATAATGGTTTCAGGAGTTGTAATAGAATTGCTTTTCGTCAAATTTTACGTTTCCGGTGTTACGAAATACTAGCGTTGATCTGAGGGCTTATTAACTAACGCAAGGGGGCATTTACAATCTGACTAACAAAGTACCTAACCTATACCTTTCAAGTAGGTATTGATAAGTCGTCCGCGTTTCTATTGATAAGTATTAGCGTCTAATAGATTGAACGTGCTCCATTGTGTTTTACAAAGCTCTTTGATATCCATGCATAGCATTTTGGTAAATAGATATCTTAGGAGTCTGAGAGGCTAACATTGAAACTGTTAACTATATGTAAGCCTTAAGTACCTAAGTTAGTTTAGCAAATGGACTAGCTATACTACCCAAGGTGACTCAACCATATATAGATAGCGGAACACGGGCTGGCTGGAATTAGTCTGTGGCCGACGTGACCCTCTTAGGCAATGCTGTGTTCTGCCGTGTTCCAAATTATACATACCTAAGCTGAAGAGGCTACGTTATCCGTTGAAAATTTTATCAATAGGTAGTCATCCTGTTCTTCCGAGAGGCGAAATATGTATGTATTATATACCTATGCAGGTAAGACGAGATGGCCACTATCAAAAGGACAGAACTTGTGAGGCTCTACTACCTACCTAAGTAGGTAACCTAGGTATGTAAGGAAAAGAGTTATAAGCCTTGCAAAATACTTTACATCTTTGAGAATACTGACCTAATGCATTGATAACCTTAGGTACCTGCGTGGCTTGAATGGAGAATGTGTCCGCATTTTTTGTTTATTTACATAGGTGTTTACAATTAGGTTGTCTTATACAAATTAAAACTCCATACTGGAATATTCTATAGTTAGTAAGAAGAACTCCTAAGAAAGCTATGAATTAAGTGAATTAGGTAAGTAAAAAAAATACCTCCAAGGTTGCCCACGTATGCAGGTACAGTGCCTAATTGCTTGATTGCGTAGCGAGTTGTCTGCCTGTCGATAAGTTATCAGTTAGTAAGCTCTAGGCAAGCAATCTGGCTTGTTCAACAAGTCAGGCTGTGGAAGTGATTGGAAGATGTGGCGGCCCTAGGTTATGCCCCACTTGGTCCGAGCTCCTTCCACCTCTCGTCATCACCAGCTCAAACAAACTACGACGGTAAGAACATACAAACAAACTCCGAACTTGAACATCTTCTTCCATTTTCACCATCTAAGGTCATCTCGTAACCCTTTTTCTAACTTAGAGATAACCACCATCTCTAGTAATTATCGCTAAGGATTGAGTTTCCTTTGCGAATTTCTCTGCATAAACCCCACCACTACCTTTCTTTGTGGTTCTTCCCACAACTTCCCCCAACCCACCCCAATCCCGACCTTTACCAAATACCTTCATTTATTCATCAAACATCATGGCACCCGAGCCTGAACACAAGAAGAAGGTCAACTTGGCGTAAGTTTTTCTAATAATGAAAAAAAAAACCCCACCATCGCAAACTGAGGTCTAAACTAACTTTACTACCAGCGACGTCTCCGGCTCCGAGCCTAAAGAGGAAAATGACACCTCAACGGCCATCCTCAAGAAGAAGAAGAAGCCCAACCAGCTGATGTATGTATTCCCTGATTAGATACTCTAGTTAATATTTATTAACTAATTTGCTTAGGGTTACTGATGCCGTCAACGATGACAACTCTATCATCGCACTTTCGAACAACACTATGGAACAACTCCAACTGTTCCGTGGAGATACAGTCCTCGTTCGAGGCAAGAAGAGAAAGGACACCGTCTTGATTGTCCTTGCGGACGATGACCTTGATGATGGTAGTGCCCGACTCAACCGAGTTGTCCGTCACAACTTGCGGGTGAAGCACGGCGATATTGTCACTATCCACGCGTGTCCTGACATCAAATATGTGCGTAGCTTGTGCCCAATAAAATATCAATGAGACAACTAATTACTAACCGATTAATAGGCTAAGAGAATTGCGGTGCTTCCTATCGCCGACACAGTTGAAGGTCTGACTGGTTCGCTCTTCGACGTCTTCCTTGCCCCGTACTTCCGAGAAGCCTACCGACCCGTTCGTCAAGGCGACCTGTTCATCGTCCGAGGTGGTATGAGACAGGTGGAGTTCAAGGTAGTTGAGGTTGATCCTCCCGAGTATGGCATTGTTGCGCAGGATACTGTGATTCACTGCGAGGGTGAACCTATTCAGCGCGAAGAGGAAGAAAACAACCTCAACGAAGTTGGCTACGATGACATTGGTGGCTGCCGCAAGCAGATGGCACAGATCCGAGAGATGGTTGAGCTACCGCTGCGCCATCCTCAGCTCTTCAAGTCTATCGGTATTAAGCCACCTCGTGGTGTTTTGCTTTACGGTCCCCCAGGTACTGGTAAAACCCTCATGGCTCGTGCCGTCGCCAACGAGACCGGAGCCTTTTTCTTCCTGATCAATGGTCCCGAGATCATGTCCAAGATGGCTGGTGAATCGGAGTCGAATCTCCGAAAAGCATTCGAAGAGGCAGAGAAGAATTCTCCGGCTATCATTTTTATCGACGAGATCGATTCTATCGCTCCTAAGCGAGATAAGACAAACGGTGAGGTTGAGCGACGTGTAGTTTCTCAACTCCTTACCCTCATGGACGGCATGAAGGCTCGATCCAACGTTGTCGTTATGGCAGCCACCAACCGACCTAACTCTATTGACCCTGCCTTGAGACGTTTCGGCCGTTTCGATCGCGAAGTCGACATCGGCATTCCTGACCCTACTGGTCGTCTTGAGATTCTACAGATTCACACCAAAAACATGAAGCTCGGCGACGACGTCGATCTCGAGCAGATTGCGGCGGAAACTCACGGTTACGTTGGTTCTGATATCGCTGCTCTTTGCTCGGAGGCTGCTATGCAGCAAATCCGAGAGAAGATGGATCTCATCGATCTTGACGAGGACACCATCGATGCCGAAGTATTGGACTCTCTAGGCGTCACTATGGAGAACTTCAGATTCGCCTTGGGCGTGTCGAACCCGTCTGCCCTTCGCGAAGTCGCAGTTGTCGAGGTGCCCAATGTCCGCTGGGAAGACATTGGAGGTCTGGAGGAGGTCAAGCAGGATCTCAAGGAAAGCGTCCAGTACCCTGTCGACCACCCCGAAAAATTCCTCAAGTTTGGTCTTTCTCCGTCCCGTGGTGTCCTATTCTACGGCCCGCCCGGTACGGGTAAAACCATGTTGGCTAAGGCTGTTGCCAATGAATGTGCGGCCAATTTCATCTCAGTGAAGGGTCCCGAGTTGTTGAGCATGTGGTTTGGCGAATCCGAGAGCAACATCCGAGATATTTTCGACAAGGCTCGTGCGGCTGCTCCTTGTGTCGTCTTCCTGGACGAGTTGGATTCGATTGCCAAGGCTCGTGGTGGATCTGTTGGAGACGCTGGTGGTGCCTCGGATCGTGTTGTCAACCAACTTCTAACCGGTAAGCTTCCCTGAAAGGTCCCTGGAAATTTTGCACTGCTAACATCATCAAATAGAAATGGATGGTATGACCTCGAAGAAGAACGTCTTCGTCATCGGAGCTACGAACAGACCTGAGCAATTAGATCCGGCCCTGTGCCGTCCGGGTCGTCTCGATTCGCTAATCTACGTACCATTGCCCGACGAGGCTGGTCGTCTCAGCATTCTCACGGCCCAGCTTCGTAAGACACCGGTTGCTGCCGATGTCGACCTCAACTATATCGCATCCAAGACCCACGGGTTCTCCGGTGCTGATCTCGGATTTATTACCCAGCGAGCAGTCAAGATTGCCATCAAGGAATCCATCACCATCGACATCGAGCGACAACGTGCTCGCGAGGCTGAAGGAGCCGGTGACATGGACGTCGATGAAGATGCTGAGGATCCTGTTCCTGAGTTGACGAAACGTCACTTCGAGGAGGCTATGCAAATGGCCCGAAGATCCGTCAACGACGTTGAGATCCGCCGATACGAGGCTTTTGCGCAACAGATGAAGAATGCCGGACCCGGTGCCTTCTTCCAGTTCCCTGCTGCCAACGCCGGTGCCACGGGCTCGGGAGACAACTTCGGCCAGGCTGGTGACGATGACGGTCTTTACGACTAAGTCGTCAGCTATTCAGTGGTTGGATACCATCTCCTCACACCGACCCTGTACTTCAATTCCTTTGCTTACGATGCGACTCAACATTAATGACAACACAACGCAACACTAAGGATGTCGACCTCAAACCGATAAATCCCTTTGATTGCTCGTTGAAGGAATTCGCACATCTGATAGATTTAATCCCGTCGGAGTGCTAGGAACGGGATGCGGCTGCTTTTCTTTGCGCGATCAGAAGCATGGCTGTTTTGGCTCTTGCTTTGCTAGAGATGCTTCATTCCGGCCGGGATGAAACATGGTAGCCATACGCATACCGCGCTGCGGTAAGCAAATTAGTTTTACGATAGATCCACAAATTGATTTCGCACTGCCCTCAACTGCCTTCCTTGGTTGTGTCTATACTGTTGAATAATAGTGTAAATGTGTGTTTATATGATATGATAAGACCTCGAAAGTCCATACCAGCAACCATGAATTAGAAATTTTCACTCCATGGTTATAAGCCAATTCTTAACTTGGATGGTACACCACTAATAGTTATGTTAATAACACATCGTCTACAACATCGTGGCTAGTACTAAAACACCAGGCAACTAAAGTACTAGGCAAGTACACAAATAGGTTTAGTTGAAAATGGTTGAGTAGTAACTATCATTGCTGCGGATCAGAGCATTAAATATGCCCCAGATATGCCTTGCTCGCCTCCTTCGTACACTAAAAATATAAACCAAACCCGAGTTGCTAACGCCAATGCTCCCTTTCCGGCCCCCCCATGCCTTGTTCTGATAAATTCGCAAAGTAGTAGTCGTGTAGCAAGAAGAAAATCACCACTCCCCTGTTCCCCTACTCCCACTCCTGCCCCTGGGATCTTTCTATTCGGACATGTATATGGGTACGGCCGAGGGGAGAGGAGTTTGTGTGTGTGTGTGTGTGTGTGTGTGTGTGTATTACAGCTCTTTCGTACTAAGCGAGTAGTACGGCGGTATGATACGATACGATATCCCATTGACTACCGAGGTATCAGGCATCAATCAAGGTGTCTGGGCGTCGTTATTCATTCATTGGTTTATTTGTTTGTTTTCTTCTTTCTTCTTTCTTCTTCCCGTGGTAGTCTTCATCGCCATCGTCACGACGCCGCCATCCTAGACCCAGACCCGGATCTGACACCCCGTCGTCAATCGCAGCCGCGCCTCCTAGCCGGGCGTCGACCCGTCGTCGACTTCGCACACGGTGTCGAGGCACTCGCGCGCGACTTTGAGGACGGCGTCGACGACGGCTTGGGGCACGGCTAGGCTGCCGTCGGTAGTGGTGGTGGTGGTGGTGTTGTTGTTGTTGCTTGCGCCGTTGGTCTTGCTGCTTCCGTTGGTAGTAGTGCTGTTGTTGTTGGAGTTGGTGGTGCCGTCGCTAGCCGCGGCGGTGTCGTGCCGCACGTCCTCGAGAACCCGTCGGACTAGCGCGGGAAACGTCGTCACGTCGCCGCTGCGCAGGAGCGCCAGCGCGTGCGACTGTACGGCCGAGGGCCAGTTGGAGGGGTGCGCGTTGAGAGAGTGCAGGAAGTGCTCTTGGATTCTGTCGGGTACCGTGCCGTCTGTTAGCTAGCTAGTTTCCTTTTTCTCCCTCTCTCTCTCTCTCTTTGTGGCGGAGGGAGGGGAAGGGCAAGGGAAAGAGAAAGTGAAGATCGAGGGCCGATGAGCGGGTGAGCGGGTAGGTGAGCGTACGTACTTGTTTATGTGGCCTTCCCGTATGAGAAGCGCGTTGATTTGCGACCGCAGGTCTTGGTCCTGCGTAGCGGGCGTGTATGCGGCCGCCGACGCGGGAACCTTTACGGGCGTCTGCGACATGGCTGTGTATATACGTGTATACGGTCTACCTGTCCGTCTGAGTGGGCGGGGCGGAAAGGCCTTTTTGTAGATAGTTTCCCCTTTTAGGTAACCAGAAAGCGGGATTTCCAAAAGAGAAAAGAGTACAGGTGAATAAAAAAGCTAAATTCAATAAAAAGTGTTGGGGTTGCTCGGACATGCGATACCTAATACGACGGTTCCCGAAGCTTGTGGCGGGTTTTCTTTTTTTTTTTTGGAGGGATGGGGTGGACGGGTAGACACGCTGCGGCGTATATGAGTAGTTATGTATGGCGTATAGATGTCTTACGAAGTCCTAGGCAGCACTGGTGCGGGCCGACGAGGTACGATATGCAAGAATTCGTCGCGATGAAACGGTTCCTGGAGGAATTGGAAGGTCGAATGGCGAGGCTGACAATTATCCGGAAAGTTTGACTTGGCAAGGCTGAAATGAAATAGCTTCGTACCTAAATAAGTGGATAGCTTTACTATGTATATTCCGTAAAGGTCAATAAGAGACTTTAGTTGTGTGGGGCGCCAGATTTGGTTTGTCAGGGATCCCCCCCGTTGTAAGCCGGGGTAAAGCTCAATGTTGGTTGGTTAGTCTATTCGATGAGATGTGGCTGGTGCGTTACTATATTGGGCTAGAACCGTCTTAGAGCCTCTTCGATCATATTCAAATCTGGTATTGATCGGAACCTTAGTCTTAACTCCAAGAATTCGTACCTACATATTATACTAGTGCGTCTATTATTACTGTTGGCAGTTTTAAGGCTTTGTTAAAGTTGGAACATAAATCTTTTAAATTAGAAATGGTTAACTATATAGTTGTCTGAACAGGCGTATAGTTTTTTTCTATAACTAAGTAACTATTGATTAACCTAGGTAGTTAGTTAACTACCTGTTAACTATAACTAATAGCCACCTAGCTTATACTATACCAACGCTTCATGCTACCTATAGTATCTAGCTTCAAGTTACATACTCATACATTCAGTATATATTTCACCCCTATCAAGACACGGATTTTTTGTCTCTACTCTTTAAATTTCAACTGTGAGCAATCCGGCGACGGCGGTAGAAGTTTTAGTTGGTTTTAATATTTACCATTGTGAAGCCCAATTGATACATTGCCGGTTTGCAATGAAATGAGAGATAGAATTGTTCTATGAGAGTTTAATCTAACTAGAGCGAGCTTGTCTTCTTCTTAATTAGGCCGAGATATTTTGATCCATCTACCGATTTGTCTATTTCTATCTACGCGCGATTTCCGAATCAAGAATATGTACGTATTCGGAAATGATGAAATAGGCAAGGTGAGCGCAGGCCGCGCTTGATCCAAAGTCCTTTCTTGTCCTTGACACTTTCAGTGACTTCGATTGACTTTAAACCCAAGTACCACTGATGTATTCAAATAATGTCAAGGAAATCTCTCAACTGCATGCGAGGCCGACTCTACGTTCAGTGCCGTAGTGCCCAACGATGTTGCGACGTTATAGAATGCACTCGGGTACAGATTCGCCAGTATATGTGTATTGGCATGCCGGTCGGTATAAGTGATATAAGTGATATATTGCGATGAGCAAATCCCACATGAACAACTCATATCCACCCTCTACTTGAACCTCAAATCCCGAGTCTTCAGGTTGGGTCGCCGTTCAGGCCGGGGTCAGCAACTCGAAATGAACATGTCGCAATTACTCATGAGTTACTCATGGCCAATTCGATTTTGTTGGCATCGATTCAACGAATGCTTTCGGGGCGTGGCCTCGATTTTGAGTTGGTAGAAAATCGTCTACACCGACTATTACCTGTGTTGTCTATTCTATATTATACGATGCAGTGTGAATATCCTTGCATTTACTCGGTGTGTGGGTAGCGAATCAGAGCTCGCCGGATCAGCCGCGAGTTCGATGTTATTCGCTAATCTTGCTTAAGATAGGTTTCTCGCCGCGACCACGCTAAGGGGGGCGTGGGGAAGCTCAAATGACCGATTCTCTGCCGCGTTGGGCTCAATCCCCGTAAAAAAATGATAAGTGATCTAGCGTATATCCATCCTAGTCAACATGACGGTTTTGTGATGCGCGCCATCAACGACGCGCCGGTAGATGGTCGACATCAATACTAGAAAAGTCGGTCTGGAAGACATTCCTAGCGACTGCGGTTACAGTTGTATATGGCCTTCCGGGATATCTCGAAGACGATTGGTCGTCTAGATAGGCTCCTCGCAGCCCCATCGCTTGCTGTGATCTGCGCTAATCCATTAGTGTATCCATTCTGCTGTTGTTACGACAAGCGTTTCTAAGTATAATGGCCTTCCTATCTAAGACACGCATAGGCCTGAGGAACTCGACATACCTTATTATTACCGTCTCATCAGACTGGGGCCGCTTACTCTCGACGATGAGAGGTTCATAGTCCGTTTCGCTTCGTCTTTCGCCCTGCATGACTCTCTTCTTTTTTTGGAACTCTCCCCGGCGCACTAGAAGAGAGCCAGGTGTTCGAATGTCACTGAATGACGTCCGTTTTAAAAGGCTACCCGCGGATTAGAGTACCGGCTAACGGCGCCTAGCAGCGACCTCAACTCTGGTCCACCGTTATTGTTCCGGGGTCTTGTCGTAGGCCTGTCTAGCATGGTGAACAATTGCGAACCGACTCCGAAGTATCTTCCAAGTACCAACTCGGTACGTATCACTGTCATCCATCGGGATTAGAATCTTGTATAGTCGATACACATACGCCTGTGGCCTTCGACATTATCGTATTTTGTTCTTGTGATTCTCGCTAAACGCAAACGCGGCTCGGGTAACTGCGTAGACTTGAGTTGGGTTATGGCCTGCTGAAGTAGTTTAGATGTGAAAGACCACCTCGAATCGTCCTCTTACCCCGACAGGCTGCTTGTTTGATAGGCAAACGCGGAATGCATGGTCAGATGGTGCCGAATAGTCATATCATAAGATGCCGGGCTTAGGTAGGAGATTGTTATCCCAAGTAACACAACTTGCACAGCTAGTAGGACAGGGGCGGATCCGATCTGTCACGCGCAGCCGTCCTCAAATCTGACAGCGAAGGCACGATTGGGTGCTGCATGCGTACGGCCAATTATATGCGGAGGTGGCCTCTCCAGATTCTAGCGGTAAGCATTGTCGGATAGGGGGTATCGTGGCAGCTCCTTAAAAAGGTGGTATTTGGTCCTAAGTACTGGGACGCTGACAAGACCGATCTAGCAGCAGTGGTGCCCCCCACGATTATATTATCCGATCTTAGCCTGGCAGATGCCCCCGCGTCAGGTTGTCGTCTTCTGAGCTCCTGAGTGGACTGGGCCAGATGCAAAACGCATGGCCCAGGGTCCTACCCAAGATCTGGGGGGTTGCAATATGCAAGTGTCGGTATGGATGTGGCGCCGGCTGGTCCCGGAGGTTGCAGGGGATTCGAGCTAGGGGCTGTAGGGGGTCAGCCACACAGAGGTGCAAGAAAGGCAACATGACCAGCCAGGGGCCGCATAGGGGGCTACCAGGTTGCCGGGAAATCGAGAGATAGACTTAGTAGGGCGGCCCGCATCTGCAACACGCTCAATGAGGAAGTAAGAGACGTCACGGCCGTTAGGGGTGGCAAAGAGCTAGCTCAGCTGCGTCTAGCTGCAGTATCTATACTTGGATAGAGAGAAGTACGAAGCCGGAGTATCCATTGTTGGTTAGTATTAGGGGTAAAGTAGTTAGTTGGTTTGATGTTATTGGATACTTACTAGGTTAGGTAGTTGGAATATTAAATAGTAACTCGTAGTCGACTTATTGTTTTCATATATACCTACAATATATATACACGTGATAGGATAAAACTAGGAGGATAGGCAATAATAACAGGTGGATTAGCCTTTAGAAACTGTGTATAAGGAGATAACATAAACGATTATAATGTTGTGATACTTCAATGTTCGTAAGATTTGTGTAGATGTAAGTAAAAGTCATCTGTTAGAGTTTAATAAAGTTTAAAAAAAATGCATGTATAGGTACTTGTGACACTTAACGCCGAGGGCTGCATATTCCGTAGCTCTTACCAATATAAGTGCTAGGGGGTGACTCTTCCTGCTCTATACTTTTTTAATGCTGTCATTAGTAGTATCCTCCAATGAACAGACTAACCGACTTTCCTCACCGGTTGCTATACCGGTTCGCCACACGGGCAGCCGACATGCTTAGGTAACTAGGTTAAGTGCCTTCCTACATTATGTATAGGTTGATAAATAAGGAAGTAAATACTCTACCTATGTAATAGTCAAAGGTACTTCCAATAATGATCCGAGGCGGGAGCTACTGCGCGTAAGAGACGGCAGTTGCCTGTTAGCCACATATGTATTCCGTATACCTATTCGATCGTAATGAATCGTGCCAAGCTTTGATGCATCCACTACCTCTTAGCATCAGTGTCAACTTCATACACTTAGATTATTGGTATTGGATTACCACAGGATGGCCCCGTATCAAATATATCGACGATATACCTCAAGGTAAAACATACCTAATGTAGGCAATCCGCATACATACCTACATATCATTATCATGTATGTATGTAGAGAATAAATAAATAATACGAAGCAATAAGCAAGTAACTGCACCCCTGAATGCCATTTGAAGAAGGAGGTTGACAGGTAATTTAGGGACTTAACCTAGGGACCTAAGGACATAAGCAAGCTACATGTCAATTTCGGAGTTGTTACCAGTTTTAAAGGAGTTTCTTTATTAATCAACCTGGTGTCTAAGCTGACTATCAGGCTAACTTCCTGATCTTCTTGATCTTCCTCGATCTGTACGATGCTCACTTCCCCGTGCTGCAAGCATCTATACCCGACATCCTTTAAAAAGCACAAATTGGAGTGTTGGGGGGTTGGAGGATCAGCCGTGGTGGCGTCGAACATCTGCTACGGTAGATTAGGCACCACGGACAGGTAGGTGGGTGTGAACCCCTTAAATTCAAAACTTGTCTAGAAGGCCTGCGGTACTTTA